AGCTTCTCGACCGTTTGCGAGGGGTCCGGATTTTCACCAAATTGGACCTAAGGGGGGCCTACAACTTGGTGCACATCCGGGAGGGGGACGAGTGGAAGACAGCCTTCCAGACCCGCTTCGGAAGTTTTGAATACAGAGTCATGAGTTTCGGGCTCTGTAACGCTCCAGCCACGTTCCAGCACTTCGTCAACGATACCTTTCGTGACTTTTTAGACCGTTTTTTGGTCATCTACCTGGACGACTTTTTGATCTACTCCACGAATCCACGGGATCACGCGCAACAGGTGCGCGCGGTGCTCCAGCGCCTGAGAGATCATGGGCTCTATGCTAAGCTGGAAAAGTGCGCCTTCGATCTCGACGAAGTGGACTTTCTAGGGCACCGCATCTCTGCGGAGGGAATTTCCATGGATCCCGCTAAAGTCTCCGCGGTGTTAGAATGGGAGTCCCCCATGAGCAGAAAGGACATTCAAAGATTCATGGGTTTTGCCAACTACTACCGCAAGTTCATCCCAGACTTTGCCCACTGGGCGGACCCCATTACCCAATGCCTGAGAGGCAAACGGCCGTTCCTATGGACTGAGGCGGCTGAGAAAAGCTTTCAGCAGCTCAAGAAGCTTTTCACTTCTCAACCTATCCTGCAACATCCTGATCCAACTAAGCTTTTTGTGGTGCAGGCCGACGCGTCGGATGTGGCGGTCGGGGCAGTGTTGCTACAACCCGCGGGGGATCATCTCCAGCCCTGCGCATATTTTTCTCGGCAGTTGACTGCCCCAGAACGGAATTACACCATTTGGGAAAAAGAACTCCTAGCCATCAAGTCGGCGTTTGAGACTTGGAGACATTGGCTAGAAGGTGCTATGCAACCAGTGGAAGTCCACACGGACCATCGCAATCTGGAATATCTCCGTACCTCCCGGAAGCTAAACCAACGACAGCAGCGTTGGGCGTTGTTTTTTGAGAGATTCAACTTCCGGATTTGCTATGTGCCGGTGGCTCAAAACAAACAGGCGGATGCTCTGTCACGCAAGCCGGAGTATACTCGGGGCCAAGAAGATTCCTCCGAGTCCTGCATTTTGCGTCCAGAAAACTTTGCGTCCACCGGCGTACCAGGACCCCCTTCGACTCTGGCTGAAAGGATCCGAGCGCGGCAGCAAGAGGACTTGTGGGTGCAAGAGCAACTAGAGGCCGGGCTAAAGTTTCCGTTTCAGGAGTTGGATGGCATGCTGTGTCATCGTTCAAAGGTCTATGTGCCGCCTGGTCCCGAGCGGGAGGAAATTTTAAGACTATGCCATGACACCAAGCCAGCAGGGCATTTCGGGATCTTTAAAACAATGCAGCTGGTGCTAAGAGACTTTTGGTGGCCCAAGATCCGACGAGAAGTCGAGAAATATGTTAATGGGTGCCCTGTCTGTCACCACGCCAAGAACCCTACGGGCAAACCGGCTGGTTTGCTACAACCTCTACCCACTCCGAGTCGGCCCTGGGAAATCGTGTCGGCCGACTTCATCACGGATTTACCAGAATCTCAAGGTTTCACCACCATTCTGGTGGTGGTGGATCTTTTCACCAAGATGGGACATTTCATTCCCTGCAAGGGAGTGCCTACGGCCAAAGAAACGGCCGACTTGTTCCTGAGCCACATTTTCCGTCTTCATGGACTTCCAACGAGTTTGGTGACCGATCGCGGTGCCCAATTTACCTCGCATTTTTGGAAGGAGATACAGCGGCAGTTGGGCATCGAGAGTCGAATGTCGTCAGCACACCATCCACAATCCGATGGCCAGACTGAGAAGACCAACGCCACCCTTGAACAATATTTGAGATGTTTTGTGAACTATCAACAGGACAATTGGTCATCGCTTCTTGCTGTAGCCGAGTTTGCTTATAACAACGCTACTCACGGATCGACCAAGAAGCCCCGTTCTTTGCTAACTATGGATACCACCCCCGGTTCTTTCCTTCAGTGGTGGGGTCGGGAGAGGTCCCTGCCGCTACCACTTGGCTGCAGGAACTCGCAGCGATTCAAGAGATTTTAAAGGCTCAACTGGAACAAGCAAAAGAGGATTACAAACGGGTGGCAGATACCCATCGACAGCCGGGTCCACCGATCCAAGTGGGGGATCGAGTTTGGCTGTCCACCAAACATTTGCCTATACAACGCCCCTCTCGGAAGCTTGACGCTCGTTTTGTGGGGCCATACCCAGTGGTGGATCAATTAAATCCTGTAACCTTTAAGTTAAAGCTTCCGCGCGGCATGCGGATCCATCCTGTTTTTCATCGGTCGTTGCTTCGACCCGCCACGGAAGTCCGGCCGGATGCTGGCGGGGCCCCTCCGCCAGCCCCCGATTCTGCTCGATGGAGAGGAAGAATTCGAAGTGGCAGACATTTTGGACTCTCGCCGTTATCATCGCAAGTTACAATACTTGGTGGACTGGGTGGGATATGGTCCTGAAGAGCGCTGTTGGGTGGATGCTCGAGATGTTCATGCTCCTCTCCTAGTGTCCCGTTTTCACCGGGCCTATCCGGCCAAGCCCGGTCCGGTGGGGGGCCTCAGGGGGGGCTTGGGGGGGGATAGTGTTGTGGTTCAGCAACAGCATGATGGGACTGAGAGTGCAAGTGGGCATGATGGGAATGGGAATACAGATGCAGGTGTGGGATTTCAGATTTCTCAGTTTTCTCAGCCACAGTCTGTAGCTAGAGAGAAACCCTTGTTCTCAGGGGAACGGAATGTGGCTGATAACACACTCGGTGAAGGTCAGAGTGAGCCGCAGGTGTTAAGGAGAAGTTTACGGATTGCGGCCAAATCTTGAGGCCATCTGCTGGTGGGAAAACTGCTCGTTAGCTGTTCTGTTTAATGTTCATGTTTTGATGTTTTACCTATAAGTAAGCTGCTTGGGAGCTGATTCAGTGTCAGTTTCAACTTCGCAATATGGATCGCTGTGCCTTCGGCTCCAGGGCTGGGGCCTTGGGGATTGCCTGCTTCTTGTAACCTCATGCTATTTCCTGGATTTTATCCTGTTTCTTTGCCTCAAGTTTCCTGCTTTGATTCAAGAGAACTTTTGGACCTTTACTTTGTACTATTGAACTTTTTACTGCTTTTACTTGGATTTGTTTGAAACCTCAATAAACTTCTTTCTTCTCAAGTTTGGCTGGTTTGTCAGAGAGCAAGGTGAAACTTAACCTGAGACGCAACAAGTCTTCTGAGGACAAATCCAGCCTCCTGCATGACTAGATATCTGTATTTATTCACTTCTCTATGATGCCACTAGTTGACGATTTCTCACCTTTTGTATGTCTTTTTTCTCCATTCTGATGCCTCTCTTAAAGTATAGTTACTAGCAGTAACTTTACCTTTTGCCTTGGCAAAACCAAAACATACATATACAATACAGCAGTGGTTCCCAACCTGTGGTGGATGGACCACCAGTGGTCCCCAAGAACTAAAATATGGCCCGCAGCCTCATTGTTACTACATCACCCACTCTACAATCTCCCAGTATTGGAACTGGGCCCTTGCCTGCTTACTTAGAAGTGACAAATGTAATGATGTTCAGCTACATAGTGCCCTATAGGTCTTGTGTTGAGTATTTTTTGCCCATATCTTGGGAAGTCAGACTTGGCTATGGTAGTCCACACTCTGGTTACATCCCAAATAGACTACTGCAACACACTCTATGTGGGGTTGCCTTTGAAGACTGTTTAGAAGATTCAAATGGTCCAACGGATGGCAGCCAGATTGCTCACCAGAGCAGCATGCAGGGAGCATACAATCCCCTTGCTACATCAGCTCCACTGGCTGCCAGTCTGCTATTGAGCACAATTCAAAGCCTATAAAGACCTAAATGGTTCCAGTCCAGCTTACCTGTCCAAATGGATCTCTCCCTATGAATCATCTTGGAGCTTAAGATTGTCAGGGGAGGTCCTGCTCTTGGTCTTGCCTCCTTCGCAAGTGCAACCGATGGGGACAAAAGCCAGGGCCTTCTCAGTGGTGGCCCTGTTGGATTTCCCTCCCTAGGGATATTAAATTAGCCCCCTCCCTCCTGACCTTCTGTAAAAAAGTAAAACATTACTCTTTGATCAAGCCTTTGGAGATATTGTGCAATAGATAAATATGGAATTATCTGCCATGACTATAGGAATGGCACAGACTATAACTTTGGATAACGTGGTTAACAGTGAAGGCATTATTTTATATGTTTAAATGTTTTAGTGTATTGTATAATTCTATTTAAATGTTTATTTTAATTGTGCATTGTTTTTGAAGGCCTCAAATAGTTGCCTAAGCATAAGCTGCCTTGAGTCCCCTCCTGGGTGGAGAAAGGCCAGGTAGAAATGCTGTAAATAAATATGTTTATTAATAAATTCCTAACAAGAAAATCTTAATTTTCAGAGGAGCAGTTTGTGTAAATGATAATGAAGGTGTAAGAGAGGTAGAGCTGCCTGTAGTTGAGCCTGACGCTGGATGTTTGGCTCCAGTACCTCCAGAAAATGGATTTATCAGGGTAAGAGCATTTCACAAGTTGCAGAAGATTTGGACCAGGTCTGAGGTGGAATGAAACCTTTCTTTTGTGTGCTTCATGCTCACAGGATAATGATTTTTTAATTGTCTACTTGCTTACCCTACAATGAGCCAGACCAAGATAACAAGAAATGTAACTACTAAAGCTCAGATTCAATTCTTTTTCCTATGGACTTCAGGGTGCCATTGGGCAATATCCATCTACCATTGTGCTGCCAAGGAAAAAAGAGTAGCCTTCTCCCTTAAGACAAGAACAGACATTGCTCTTTTTCCTTTGCCAGTGTAAGTTAATAACAGCATTCAAGTTGCTGAATCCTAAACATTGAAAGGACATGTTTCTTTACAGTTGTGAAAAATTACTTCAGATTAACATGTTCAAATGTTTATACTCACTGAATTGTTTGTTTTCCCTAGAATGCACTCGAAGGAAAATAGAAGATTTTGATATCTCAATAATAGGCAGTCCCCAAGTTACAAACATCTGACCTACAAATGACGCATAGTTAAGAATGGGAGTGACATAACAGGAAATGAGAGCAATTTACCCCTTGGAAGGGAAATTCATTCCTGGAATAGTTATCATGGGAAAAAGATGTTTCTGCTGAAACTTTCTTACCAATCCTTGTTTCCACAACAAGCCATTTTTTTCAAAATTCAATTCTTACAAGGACAGAAAGGGAGATGAAATCTTCTCAACAGGGGCACAGATAGCAAAACAAACATTACAGGGGTGTTACACTTCCCTATGCAACAAAGCTCTGTCTGTCTGTCTGTCTGTCTATCTATCGACAGTAGAATCTCGCTTATCCAACATAAATCAACCAGCAGAATGTTGGATAAGCAAAAATTTTGGATAATAAGGAGGGATTAAGGAAAAGCCCATTAAATGTCAAATTACATTATGATTTTACAAATTAAGCACCAAAACATCATGTTTTACAATGAATTGACAGAAAAAGCAGTTCAATGCACGGTAACGTTATGTAGTAATTACCAGATTTACAAATTTAGCACCAAAACATCGCAATATATTGAAACAGTTGTGGATCCAGGCAGGAGGCAGACTGCATTGGATAATACAGAACATTAGAAGAGCTAAGGTTGGATAAGCGAGACTCGACTCTACTTTGCTCTACTCTATCTATCATCTATTTGGCTGTAGTTGCACTTTAAAATGTTCGTGTTCCGACTTACATACAAATTCTACTTAAGAACAAACCTATAGAACCAATCTTGTTTGTAACTTGGGGACTTCTTGAATGTCTCTGCAGATGCCGTTATCTTCATCTCTGCAGTAAATGATTTTATATTTGCAAAGCACTAGGGAATGTTTTACTACAACCACTGACCTTGAATCAGACCTGGGTTTTTTGTTGCTGAATATTATTTGCAGCCAAGCCCTATTTGCTAAAACCTCCATCTATTGATAACTCAGAAGTCATCTTGAATTGCTGACCTTTTCTGATTTTGTGATAACAACCTAAATTATTATCTCTCTCAAATACTTGGGCTTAAGTTCATCATGCTGTATTTTTTATCAATGAATATCCCACTGACTAGACTTTTTCTTTGTCCTAATTTCAGAATGAGAAAAATTACTATTCCGTTGGAGAAGAAGTGGAAGTTGTCTGTCTGAGTGGTTATAATCTTGTAGGATATAAATTCTTTAGATGCCTACCAGACAAAACATGGGTTCAACATCCAGTGGAGTGCCAACGTAAGAAGAAAACTGATGTCAAGAATAGGATTGACTATTTATTTATTTATTTATTTATTTATTTATTTATTTATTTACAGTATTTCTATTCTGCCCTTCACACCCTGAAGGGGACTCTGAGCAGATTATAGAACACATATATGGCAAACATTCAGTGCTGTTATACGTACACCGACAAATAGACAACTGTACATAGATAGAGATATATAGGCTTTCCCATCAGCATCTCAGTTCCGTCCGAAGAGCTTTGTTAGTAAAGTTCCTCCGAGATTGAATTGCTGACATTTTTCTGGTATTTTCTTATGGATGCTTTAAATATTTCCCCACTATTTATCTACTCACATTTGTTTTCGAACTGCTAGGTAGGCAGAAGCTTGGCTAAAAGCCAGGAGCGCACCCTGACCCAGGCTTCGAACTCTCAATTTTTTAGTTGGCAAGAATTTACTGCAGCTGGCGGTTAACCTGCTGTGCTAAAGTATTACATCTTGCATCATTGGCCAAAATTGTTAGGGATAATGAGAGTTGTAATCTTAAATATTTGCTGGACAACAGATTAGGGGAGACTGATCTATAAAAAATCAATCCTAGTAGGAGAGAATGACACAATATTGACTTGACTATTCAAAATGGATCAAATGTCAGCGCTTGGAAGTTCATATTTGGACTACAACTCCCAAAATCTCAGGGATTCTAGGACTGTCAGCCCAAGTTCTGCTTTTTCCAAACTGTATTCAAGTGCTATAGGCATTCTAATTCAGGAGACGCTTTGTATCCACTGGGGTTTTATTCCAGGTCCCACTGTGGATACTCTAATCTGTAAATACTCAAATCCTATTATATACAATGGGGAAGTGAAATACGGCCCATTACATAAAATGGCAAAATAATGGTTTGCTTTTTGGATAAAAAAAAAAGAGTTGAATCTATGGATAGATAATTTGTAAATACAGAGAGACTACTGTGTTGGTTTCTCTTATTTGTTGGAAAGGAATGAATTATGAGTAATTCGTGAAACATAGTTATTTCACAGCTCTATGTTTTACCTTGATGCTGTTATGATACTTAAACTATGTTTCTATATTGTCTTTTGAACTTTCTCCCCATAGCATTTTTCTTAATGAATGGTACAAAAATGTTACAGATGAATTCAAAATCACATGGATTTGTTCCATATTCAGACATTCAAATTTCTCTTTTAAACTCCAGCATCAGCTTGCTCTAGACCCTCCCTTACCAATGATATCAAGATATCTCCATTTAAATTGGAATACGAGACAGGAGAAAGGATCCACCTGAGTTGTCCAAATGGCTACATTCTTACTGGCCCAAGGAGCTACACCTGTGGGAATGATGTTGCCTGGACCCCACCTATTTCAGGATCACTTACTTGCAAACAGTGTATGTACCTATCAAATACCATTTCGATACTCGTAGCATTCTTATTTTCTGCTTCCTACCTGTTTTATTTCCCATTTGTGTCATTGTATGTTAAAGATTCAAAAACTATTCATAACCATTTAAGAAAACCAGGAATCTCCACAGGCTTTTGAAAGTGTGATCCTGTTGAGAATTAATTGACATTTACACTATATGGAATAATCATAACCTATTGAAAAGGTATGACTTTGTTAGAGATCCTAATCTTTTGTAAAGTATGATATTCCTGAGAAGAGTTAAAAACTCACTTGAGTCAACCTTCTCTTCAGTGATAAATATCACTATATTCATGCAAGGCAATTAGGTTTCTCAGCTGTTAGACTGATATACCCAGATATCTCTTTGAACTGTAAGGACAAAAATATGCCAATGCACAAAAAACACATATAACAGAGTTTCATAAGTGTTCTTTTCAGTTACCCCCAAAAATCTACTCTCCCTTAAAACATCTTAGTTTTTTAAAATAATGCTCTCAAGAGACCAAAAAAACAAACAAACCCATCGCTGGTTTATTCACAATCTTCATGTATTTAACATACAAGTACATTTCTAATCAAGTAAGTTACAGATACAATTTGAAGTAGTTTCTCTGTGCAGATAACGCAGGGCATCATTCTTAGAATCTACAGTCCAAAGTCTAAAGCATCTCTCTGATCTGGTCTCTAAAGCATTCCATTTCTACTGACTTCTAAAAGCATTCTGTTTCTAAAATGAGATCTTATTAGTCCCAAATATGATCATATTGTCTGTAGTCCCTCCCACAACATATAATTAAGGAAAACTGTATACCAATATACTCATATACAATACAGTAAGCAATCTGAATTATATGGTCCATGCCTTAGTCACCTCCAGATTGGATTACTGTAATGCACTCTACATGGGGCTGCCCTTGAAAACAGCCCGGAAATTTCAATTGGTTCAACGGGCAGTGGCCAGGCTGTTAACTGGTGCACCTTACAGGGAGTGGTCAACCCTCCTGTTTAAGGAGCTCCATTGGTTGCCGTTCATTTTCCAGTCCCATTCTTCAAAAAGGAGTAGGATACAAATTTTGCAGGTATGTTCAAGTTAGAAGGAAAAATGTGCAAAAAATCATTTGAAATATTTGTTTTCCTTCTATGCACACACTTAAATTTTTCTCCTTTGCAGGACAAACAAAGACAATACATCTTCATATATCTGGTTAGCAGCTCATCTTGTAACTGTGAACTGTCACTGTGTATTCCTGCTTAACAGTAATAGTAATAATAATATTGTTTTAGCCCAGGAAATTTTCCCTAGAGGCAATTGCAGCTTTGGACAAAAGGAGGTGGGGTCTCAGTGCGTTTGTATGTCTCCTGAGGAAGACTGTCCGTAAGTAAGAATGATGAGACAAATGGTCAACAGCCAAATCTTCTTCTTCCTTCTATTCTTCTAGTGCCATTCCCGCCACTTCTTCTACATTTAATTATTTATACAGCACCATCATGGTATTTGATGCTTTACAACAAAACCCTTCCCTGCCATGAGATTTACAGTCTTACATATGGGCCACACCTACTCTCCACTGCCATTAAAACTGCCGGATTTAACTGAATGTTGCCCCCAGTGGTTTGCCCTGCCAGCAAATCCTTGTGCTGCTGCTGACCGACAGGTCAGCTGTTTGAATCCAGGGAGAGCAGGTTGAGCTCCCTCTGTCAGCTCCATCTCCCCATGTGGGGACATGAGAGAAGTCTCCTACAAGGATGGTAAAGCATCAAAACATCCTGGCGTCCCCTGGGCAATGTCCTTGCAGACGGCCAATTCTCTCACATCAGAAGCGACTTGCAGTTTCTCAAGTCACTCCTGATATGGAAAAAATCCAGAATTTTAAAGCATTAATTTAAAAATTATAAGTAAAACATAACTAAATCATATTTTTTTGGTTTTTAATCAGGCAAATGGAATCGAACTGCAGCAAAACAGCAAATCATTTAACCATAGAGATTTAACAAAGCAAAACAGCCAAGAGGGAAGCATTTCAAATTCAAATAGCAACACACACACAACATTTCAAGATCTATCTATCTGTCTGCCAGTGAACCAGTCTTCATGGAATCAAAGAAGCTTAAAAGTCAGCTAAAAGTTTATTTATAGATATTTTTTTTTAAAAAAAGCATGCAATTCTATTTAAAAAGCACATGTTTAAAACAGTATACAACACATTTAAGACACAATTGGAAAAAATAAATATATATTGTCAAAGGCTTTCATGGCCGGAATCACTGGGTTATTGTAGGTTTTTTCGGCTGCATGGCCATGGTCTAGAGGCATTCTCTCCTGACGTTTCGCCTGCACTTTGGCAAGCATCCTCAGGATGCTTGCCAAAGTGCAGGCGAAACATCAGGAGAGAATGCCTCTAGACCATGGCCATACAGCCCGAAAAAACCTACAACAACCCAATAAAAATATAGCTCACTACTTTCAAACACCTTTTACTACCTTAAGAATTTTATTTATTTACCTTATTTATACCCCGCCTTTTTCTACCCGGGGAGGGAGGGGGGAGGACTCAAGGCAGCTTACTTGGAATCAGTCCCTGTTCCATGTAATTAAATCCCCTGACATATCTGAAATATAGTGCAATATATAATTATTGAGTTTGATGGGATCTTTTCCTTGGGAACTGAAGGCTTAAGGATGCAGAATTTCAGCCTTACTAAAGGTCAAAATGCTGGTTGCTCTTTATAGAATCCATAAGTGATACTGGAAGTAACATCGAATTGTAAGAGTCATTGCAATTGCAAGAGCTATCTAAATTCTAACTTTATCTCTTGATAGTCCTGGTATGGAAGATATTTGTGTCCTGGATACAGCACTCAAAATGCCTCTTACAAAATCGAGCTGCCAATACGTAGCCAACAGGTGCCGAGGTGATGATCAATTCAGTTTCCTCTCTTCTGGACCATGTCAAAATAATGTCAACACAAACTGGCCCATTGCACGGGCAAGTCTTTCAGCAAACAGTACAAGAAAAGAGCTCTGTGGATATGATGTATGTTACGATTGGGAAAAATGTTCAGGTAAGTTTTTTACACACTGAATCTGAATCCAAGATTGCTGTGTGTCCACTTTGCCATAACTGTTTTCTTGATTTGTGTCTTTAAATAGCTTGAGAAAATTTCTATTTTTTCAGAATCCAATCCCCCCCCCCCCCAAAAAAAAACCTTTTACATCCCAAAAGGAACACTGTATCCTTACTGAGACTTAGAATGCATCTACACTGTAGAATTAATACAGTTTGATACCACTTTAACTAACATGGAGAAATGCTATAGTATAATTAAAGCTGCAGTTTTGCAAGGTCTTCAACCTCAGCTAGAAAGTGCTGGTGCCTCACCAAAATTGCAGAGATTGTAGCACTGAGCCAATGTAGTTAAAATGATGTCAAACTGTATTAATTCTACAGTGTTGATRCACCCCCAGTACTAGTGAGTAGAAAATGTATAGAATGGGTTGTTGTAGGTTTTTTCGACCTAGATGGCCATGTTCTAGAGGCATTCTCTCCTGACGTTTCACCTGCATCTATGGCAGTGGTTCTCAACCTATGGGTCCCCAGGTGTTTTGGCCTACAACTCCCAGAAATCCCAGCCAGTTTACCAGYTGTTAGGATTGCTGGGAGTTGAAGGCCAAAACATCTGGGGACCCACAGGTTGAGAACCACTGATCTATGGCAAGAATCCTCAGAGGTAGTGAGGTCTGTTGGAACTAGGAAAATTGGGTTTATATATCTGTGGAATGACCAGGGTGGGACAAAGAACTCTTGACTGTTGGAGCTAGGTGTGAATRTTTCAACTGACTAYCTTGATTAGCATTTGATGGCCTGGCAGTTTTTTGGTGTGGCTTGTTAGTGCCTGGAGGAATCTTTTGTTGAGAGGTGATTAGCTGTCCCCGATTGTTTCCTCTCTTGTTTTTCTGTTGTAATTTTAGAGTTTTTTAATACTGGTTTCTTCCTTTCTGTTGAAATTGTCCACATGCTTATGGATTTCAATGGCTTCTCTGTGTAGTCTGACATGGTGGTTGTTAGAGCTGTCCGGCATTTCTGTGTTTTCAAATAATATGCTGTATCCAGGTTGTACAGAATTGTGCTATCAATTATCTGAGAAATTCCAAATTTGTAATATGAAGTGAAAACCCAGAGTATGAAATCCATATTTATTTAGCTATATTGAGAAAAAGGAGAGTGGAGAAGCATGTTGTTGAGCTGTTCCATCTATCTAAAAATGAAGCTCCGTGTCAATGTTTGTTATGCAACTTGATGTTCACAGTGCAACAGGGTGATAGCAATTGTGGGTTTTCTCGTAAATTGCCTTGGCTGAGAGCATAGGAATACATTTTTTGCCAAGAAAAGGATGGCTCATCTGGTTCATTTTTTCATCCCCCTTTGGACAATCTTTTCTATTTTAGGCTGAAGTAGAAACAGAGCCAGTTTGACTATTTTTTCCATCATAACCAAAAAGTCAGTCACTTTATCACTAACAACACAAAACACTCCTATTTTCAATGTGAGTGAGAACTTTCATTTTAGAAACTGCGATGGCACGCCTGAGCCTTTGGGAAAAACGATAGCATCTGGCTTTTCTCTGAGGCTAACTGATACCTTCTGTTAAGATTAAGACCCTTTAACACAAAGGGGCACTTTAGGCAAGGTGAAAAGATAACCAAAATGAGTTTACTGCAAACAAGATGAATAAAGGGTTAACTCCACCCGGGACTATCATAAGGTAACTTAAACAATATATTACAAAAGGAGATTTTGCTGGCTTCAGTCATCTCTCTGGAGTTTTCTGCCTCTGGTGCAAAGCAATGGTTTATAAGCTGTTGCTTATAAGCTGTCTCAATCGTCTTTATTGTGAAGCTTAAGCTGGTCAAAAGCTTCAGTTGTCTCTGGGACTGCTGGTATAAGGATACTGCTGAATGCAGGTGCTAAGGATGCCTGTTTTAGGATTGCTTGGGCCTAGGATTACCAGATAATGCCCCAAAACTCTAGTGACTGTAGAAAAAGGGAGGAGTCTGGCAAGAGAGCTCTATACAGACAACTGGAATAGACCAATTAAGGCTGGCCTCTGGGGGGGGGGGGTCGGGGTGTTATGCTCCACCCAAAAACTAATACAAAGGAAGGTATCTACACTACTGGGAAAATCTATGAACAGGGGGAGCTGAAGCAGAGGAGAGGAAAAGGCAGAGCCAAGACTTTACAGACACCCTCCTGGGGATTGGGGGCAGGGAAGCAAGGCTGGCTCAAGATATTTTGGAGTCAAAGGACAAAATGAATGCCCCTTTTCATTTCTATTTATGGAAGCAAGCCCGATACCTTCCACTATTTTGGGGCTGAAAAGCAGGACACGTTTGTCCAAACAACATCAGAGTATGGTTGAAATTGCAAAGATTATTAATGAGGAAGAACAGACAAGAAAGGAGAGACTGCAGTGGTTTGCTTTTGCCTAAGCTTCCTGGGAAGGGCACAGCTCTGTATGGTATCTCTTCAGGCAGTTAATATCTTATCTCCACTAAATCCTTTTTCCATATTAGCTCTTTTGGCAATTCCTCATACAGATTGGCTTATAGTACCCTCATCTTCAGTCTTGTTGATAGAAACCAAAGTAAATCAATGTAGGCTCATCACAAATGTTTTTTTTTCCTGTTTGCAGAAAGAGAATTACGATGTACTTGCTTACTTCCTTACCAGTGCCCAAAGGATGAGGGCCAACTCTACTGTATCCTGAGTGGAGTTAGAAAACGTATGAAGACAGTCACTTTCTGTTCTTTAGGAGCAATGAAATGCTCCAATATGAAGACTGAATTGTTGCATGCTGGGGAGTGTATGCCTTAAGATGAGTGACAAAGTCATGCATACTTATGGAAGGATATCCAGATGTATACAAGATATATTTCTGTAGCCATTCAAAATAATGATCAATACATTGTAATATTTTGGTATTCATTTATAATTACTAAAATATATAATCTGTTCTATGTGCCTCAACATTAGTTACCATCTCCTTTTTGGCCAGAGGTCTACCACTTCTATCTCTGTGATATCTTGTTTTCACCACTCCCTATAATTGCTTCTGCCTGTTGACCACCCGTATGGTACTCTGTGATATATTTTTTATCAGCATAATTGTCAGCTACCACTCCCCCCCTCCCCGCCCCTTGCACTAGTACTAGTAAAGAAGCGAGGTTTCAAAGCACATTGACGTCTCCATGATTCTTGGCTTCAGTAGTTTTAGAATGGGCATGGGCAAACAATGTAGATCTACTTCGGACAGGGCTCCATGCCTGGAGTGAGGTGAAACTGTCATAAGAGGCAGCAGTGGAAACACAGGATGCTTCCCATGTTCCATAGAGAAGAACAGGGGGAAGCCAGGCAGCAACGCTCACCCCCATGGGATGAGGTTAGGGGTGACACGAACAACACAGGGCGCTGGGCAACTGGTTCCCCACGTCCCACGCTAGATTCACCACGATCCATGATTAATCTCCCTGGTATCACTGTGCTGTCATGCCTGGGGGCTAAAACTGTTAGTGATAGAGACATAGACGTGACATCTTTCCCCCAGGGGATTGCTTCTTGCCTTCCTTTAAAGAACTGGAACTCCCAAGGACCAAAAACACTGTAGATAACTCAAAATAGGTTTTATTGTTCACAAAGAGTTATCCCTTTAAGGCAATAAGCTGGAAGTTTCAAAGGGGTTAAAGGAAATATACATTACAGTCTCTGGTTGTCTTGGGTCCAAGGAGATTTCGCAGCTGAGAATCTTTTCCTGTTACCTCTTTTCTCAATAGCTGTGAAGGTCAGAACAAACACAACCCCCAGTCCAATGGCCTATGTTGAAGGCACAGAGTCTTCTTTTTGATGCCAAAGGACCGGTTTGAAGGCGCTTGGGTCTCCTCAACGTTGTCCAGGGCGATCTGGACATGAAGCATGAGTCTCAAGGGTAAAAACCTTAGAATTGGTGATGAGAGGTAACTTAATTAAGGGCTTTAGAGCCAAGTCTCTTTCTAACGTCTATCTGATAGAAAGTTTGATGGTAGAATGGAAAAGGAAAAGCTCTGCCCTTCTCCAGGAAGAGGTGGAGCCAAGCAATTGAGCTGAGGAAGCAATATAACTGGTGCAAACAACATTGATTGACTGCTATAAATAACCAATCAGTCCAACTATACATTTACAAAGTAAGCAAGTATGGGCATGTTATACAGTTTAAACCTTTGCACTTTAAAGTTCTACACACAGGTGGCACCACTCGTGCCGTCATAATCTCCCATAACTTTGGCTGCAATATGATGAGTTTATTAGTGATGTTTCCACCTCTTCTCACTCGATTATACACTTGCTTCTCAAGTGAAATTGGTATTGGCTTTGCACTCATAGAGAGCTTTCCTCTCTTTAATGACATTCTTATAATAAAGAATCATTACACTTGAGTATTTTTCCACTTCAATCCACTTTAAATGCTGTGACTTCCTCTTGCAGAACTCTGGAGTTGGTCGTTTAGGGAGGCGCAGGGCTTCTCTGGATGGGCAGTTTAAAGGCCCCTCCCTGAACTACAAACTCCAGAATTCTGCAGGAGGCAATCACTGCAGAATTCTGGGATTTGTAGATTAGGGAGGAGTAGAATTGAGGAAAACCGTGTGTGCACCATTACACAGCAAAATGGGGAAACACGTTAAAAGAAAGTAAAAGAAGGTACATCTTTTATATAATTTATTTTGATTCATGTGGTCTGGCACACCAATAATAGCAAAGTGGAGATGAGATTTTGACAAATTTGCAAATCAATAACAACCTAAAATGGTGGAAAGAAATACTTCTACTTTGAGTGAACGTAGGCAGCAGTGAACATTTTCAGAGTGGGCTGAAATTGATCTGTACTTCCTACTGGGAACCTCTCTGTGAAGTGTTTCATTTTCATGCAAATTGTTAAGGACAAACATGGGGGAGGAAAGGAAATCTATGACTTGTAGACAAATGGCTGTATTTACCCTTTTGAATTGCTACAGCTTTCTTACTTTGCAGGACCACCTATTTGCCATCTGTCATTTTCAGAACAATAGTCCTTAAGAGAGATTGTGAGACAGTTGTGTCCTTTGGCACTGGAAATGTCAAAATACAAAGGCTGCTTTTGTCTCTCAACACCTGCACCTATTTCTCTGAAGTTAACAGCCCTGCCGAGGAGAAACAAGTATACTTGCAAACATTTTCCAGTTCTGCCAAGAAGCAAACGTTACTAGCTGGGATCCTGTTTGTGAACAATAAATGTACACAATCACAACTTGCTTTTTTGGTTGCTAAATAATGAATAATGTTCCAACCATGCAATGACAAAAATTCCTTCCAAACCCTGATGCCATCTTTGTGAATCTCCAGAGGTCTCTGCAGATGCCTCTTGTAACATAGCCAGCTACAGGAAAAGAGCTTGATGTATCCTCACTCATCCTTCTCTCCTACAATATAGAAATTGCTGTGTTGGGAGCAAGGGAGCTCTGGGGCTTACAAGGACAAGAATTTGAAGAGTCTAGGCTAGAATATGTAGCTATGTAACATATTTGGGTCTTCCAACATCAATAATATCAATCAAACGTCACAGTGGGAGTAATGGGGCTTTTTATTTTAAAAGGGTGTAGATTTACACAAATCATCAGAATACAAAATTATTCCATAATCAATTTCAAATCATTAAAAATCAAAATATAGAACTCTCCTCCATTACAATAATAGAAAATAAGCAATATGAGGAAACAGTTATTGCTGAAATGTATCATTCAGGAGAGAAGAGAAGAATCACACTAAATCATCATAAAATGCACTGGTGTTTTTCTTTTACTATTTAATTTGAAATTATTTGTCATGTCTTTGGCACCTGCTCCAGGTGCCAAATGGGTGAGATAATCAGAGGTCGGTATCTGAAGGAGACAGCAGGTGAATAGCAGAAATCTAACCTACTATTGCCAGAAATTAGTTAGTTTAGACCTAGGCAAATAAAAAAAATCAGCAAGAAGGCAGCTGATCACATCTGAAGCATGCTATTACTGCAAAATTGCCATATGTAGGACTAGATACAAGGGCTTCTACTGACAAAATGCTCTCTTTTGCGGTCTCATTTCGGAGCAATCTGCCAACAGAACGGGCTATGTTGGCTAAGAACTCCAGAAGAGCCAGAGAAGGACATGATCAAGTAAATATGTCTATCTAAGCCTCTTCTATCCATGAACATAGTCCCAATGCCAGCACAAAGTTAGGCCACAGCAAAGGGAAGCTGGGAGAGATTTGGATTTAGCATAGCTTCAGCTGGTCCTTGATTTTCTTGGCTGCTTAGAATTGTGCTCCTAGATGGGAGAACTGCACTGGAAAAATGACTTTGCCAGGCTTACAGAAAGCAGGTCAAAGTTCAATGACCCGGCACTCAGATCAGGCATGGGTCAGATGTTTTGGACTCTGACTACCACAATTCCTAACAACCAACAGGCTGTTGGGAATTGTGTGAGTTGAAGTCCAAAACACCTGGAGAGCCAAAGTTTGCCCATGCCTGCACTAGATGATAGAGCTTAGAGAAGTCACTGTTTTGGACCAAAGTTCCCTGACTCCTTTAGGTTAACGTACTTCCCAACCCCTGTCAGTCAAGAACAGCATACAGAACAGTGTACTAGAAGCAGTGCTATTCAAAGTAGTACTCTGTGGACCACTATTGGTCCTTGAACCATCTAATGCCGGTTCCTGGAGAGCTCACAGGAGAGAAAGAAAAAAATATATAGCCCATAAGTACAAATCTAATTATAATTACTTGCTTTGCCTGTGTGCCATTATTCTATTTACTTTACTTTACTTTACTTTACTTTACTTTACTTTACTTTACTTTACTTTACTTTACTTTACTTTACTTATATACCGCTGTTCTCAGCCCAAAGGCGACTCATTCTAGTACAGGCAAATGAAAGATATTTTGGTCAGTAATCCTCATCAGCTCCAGCTGGTGTGGTTAATGGTAAGTCACTGTGTCAACTGTGGTTGAAATCATTGGGAGGGCCAAAGAAGTCCCAATTATACTGTAGGATGAAGAAAAAAGATCACTAAATATGAGGCTATGAAGACAGAGAAGAATTGGCATCTTAATGGTGTAATCATCATGTGAAAGAGGCAAGTGAGTAGTACACCAGTGGTTTCCCCAGATAATCCCCTTACATTTTTCCCATGTGAATTAACAATTGTCATGTGCATTGATGGGATCAGGCCCGTAGCCAGGATTTCGTTTCGAGGGGGGGGGTGTGAATTTTTTCAGGGGGGGGGTTTCGGGGGGGCTGAGTTTCGGGGGGGCTGAGTCTGAGTGAAAGAGGGTCTAGCCTAGCAAACCTTTTGTATCATTACCCCAATACCCCCATGCATATGGGATATATTGAGTATGGTGATCAGATCATGATATGAATAAACATAACAGTTTAAATAATGCACCAGTAAAGGCCTTTTCATGAACCACCATGAGAATTTCGGCGGGGGGGGGCCCCCTGAGCCCCCCCCCCTGGCTACATGCCTGGATGGGATGAATTAAAGCTCCGCACAACCAATATGAAAAATACCTTCCTCCTTTTTAAATGGCTTGGTTCTCTCCCACAGATACCTGCGGAGACAAGAACCCCTCACTCCAGTCCCTGAAATATAAAAGCCTTAAGTCACCATATTACTTATACAGGGATAGTAATTTTATTTGGAGAACACAGACAAGAATGATCAAACTGAGATAAAATGACTATCCTGATATACTGCGCAACCAATCCTATGGTAGATGCATCTCGATTATGAAGAGGTTTGCCCATTACAGGGCCTTATGCTAACAATGCGGACATTCTGTCCCTGGCACTTGAGGATGCCAGCCTCGCATTCAGTCATAGTCTGCTGGGCAACTCTTCCTTCCACATCCACACAGATGCTTATTCCTTCTTCACTGCACTGTCCCGCTGTTCTGCAAGTGCACTGGTTGGTTGGATCTAAAAAATAGAGTTAAACATTATGCAATTTAACCCAAAGGAAAGCTATATTAGATTATCAATTAACAAAATCTAAACGAGCAAGCATTTGCAGAAAGAACCCACCAAAAGTCAACAGACATAATTAAAGGCAGGAGAGAAACTGCTGGGATTTTTCAGTGATTGTTCATCTGACCTACTCAACATGTTGTTCATTCGTTCAGTCGTCTCCGACTCTTCGTGACCTCATGGACCAGCCTACGCCAGAGCTCCCTGTCGGCCGTTACCACCCCCAGCTCCCTCAAGGTCAGTCCAGTCACTTCAAGGATGCCATCCATCCATCTTGCCCTTGGTCGGCCCCTCTTCCTTTTGCCTTCCACTTTCCCCAGCATAATTGTCTTCTCTAGGCTTTCCTGTCTCCTCATGATGTGGCCAAAGTACTTCAACTTTGTCTCTAGTATCTTTCCCTCCAGTGAGCAGTCGGGCTTTATTTCCTGGAGGATGGACTGGTTGGATCTTCTCGCAGTCCAAGGCACTCTCAGCACTTTCCTCCAACACCACAGCTCAAAAGCATCGATCTTCCTTCGCTCAGCCTTCCCTAAGGTCCAGCTCTCACATCCGTAGGTTACTATAGGGAATACCATGGCTTTGACTAGGCGGATCTTTGTTGCCAGTCTGATGTCTCTACTCTTCACTATTTTATCGAGACTACTCAACATAGTACTATATAATTGAATTAGCAAATAGGTGTTAATCAGCACATGGGAATGTAGAACTTCGTTTTTCCTCCACCTTTCCCACAGAATGGAAAGATAAAGAAACCCACATTTCACAAGCTTTAAAATCCCATTTCCAATCTTTGCAGGCAAACAATTCTAATTGAAAACAAGTCAAATACACATTTGTGTTAGGCTTGTTTTAAGTGGCAATGTGGGTGTTTTAAAATCAGATGTGAGCTTCCAGTTACTTTCAGCAGACTATTGGGGGCAAGGGGAAAGAATGGTATCTTTTGAGGGAGTTGGACTGGACTTTGGTCTACTGAAATTATACTCCATTACTGTAAATGATACAGGGAAGAAAATAGGAAGTTTCCAATTCTTACATGGTTCATCAATGGAACAGTTCCAGAAAAAGAGATTGGGTTCACACCAATTCAAGCCCAGATTTTAGCTACTTAAAGCTCCAGACTGGGGAAGAAGGGATCTATCCATTTTGGTTTTCCTATTTTCATTTTTTAATCTCATATACTTTCCCTTGCAAATGTAAAGACATTTTGGAAAATTCTTACTTAAAAAATGAACTGGAACAAAATGTTCACCTGTTTATTGCTGCAGCATCAAGAGCAGTAAACAATCTTCCACTACGAAGAACACCACATGTCTCCCATTCCCTCGGGAAAGTGTTCAGAGATATATCAAGCCACCACCCACTTTTTACAAGCAATTTTGAGTGCCCTCTGCCCTGAGTGTTAGCTCTGCGAACTCTCTAGAACACTGCTTTTAAACTTTACTTCTTGACCCCAAATAGAGTCCCCTTAGCTCAATGTTGTGGTTATGAAAAAATTGGCAGCAGTAAAAGCTTTCTGAATGCCATCCATTTACACAAATTTTTAACAACAGTGTGCAGTATTTACAGTGGCCTCTGAAAGAAATGCTTCAGTTGTACTTCATAAAAAGAAAAATTAGACTTTGACAATACAAAAATTAGACTGTTCAAGTTTTGCAAATGCTGATTTATTAGTAAGAATTTCATTTTTATACTTATTTATACCCACGCTCTGGTTACATCCCGTTTAGGCTACTGCAACGCTCTCTACGTGGGGTTGCCTTTGAAGACAGCTCGGAAGCTCCAACTAGTCTAACACTCGGCAGCCATGATTTTAACAGGAGCGGAGTGCAGGGAGCATACAACCCCCCTGTTGCGCCAACTCCACTGGCTACCGATCTGCTACCAGGCTCAATTCAAAGTGCTGGCGTTGGCCTTTAAAGCCCTAAACGGTTCCGGCCCAAGCTACCTATCCGACTGCATCTCTGCCTATGAACCCACCAGGACTTTGAGATCTTCCGGGGAGGCCCTGCTCTCGATCCCGCCTGCTTCTCAAGCATGGCTGGTGGGGACGGGAGATAGGGCCTTCTCGGTGGTGGCTCCTCTGCTGTGGAACACCCTTCCTACGGACATTAGACTAGCACCATCTCTAATGGTATTCCGCAAAAAAAGTGAAGACCTGGCTGTTTGAGCAGACGTTTGAATAATTAGTGCAATGACTGGTTAATGAACACTGGAATAGAACAATGGATGACGAATCTGGAACATGTTTTTGATGATGAGACGACAGTGAATGGGTATTGTAGTAACTGTTTATTAATTGTGTAATGTGTTAGGTTGTTAACTGTTTTTATACTGTAGCACTGAATTTTTGCTGTTCGTATTTGTTGTGAACCGCTGTGAGTCGCCTTCGGGCTGAGAACAGCGGTATATAAGTAAGGTAAATAAATAAATAAATAAATAAATATTTGATATGCCTGTATACCCAGGATCATGTAAAAATTTATCTGCTGGAAAAAAGTCATGAAAAAGATTTCTTGGGCAGAAAGTGGCCATGAATCAAAAAACTTTAAGAAATGCTTCTCTTTCTGAACTCTAAGTGTTTTGAACTTCAGCTCCCAGAAGTTTTGTTGGCTTTGGCCAATGATCAGATTCTGGGAACTATATCTAAAGCACATGGAAAAACAGAGTTTTGGAAATACTGTTCAAAAACTAAAGACATTAAAGCAGCAATTATAAAATTGGTCATAACAGCATTCCTCCAAGCAATAGGGATACCCCTATAATGAGACTGGGAAGAAACAAACTTGTTAGTCCAGACACTCCACAACCTGAGGCAACTGCTTCACCCAGCCAAGTGATGAGCTGGTCCTGTGCAGCACCCAGAATCATAATCTCTGGACATACACTTTATTGGTGCTTGAAGTAAAGAAAGTCTCTCACCATTACAAGTCTCCCACAAATGACATGAATTGCACGATCTTTCGGTTGCAACAGGAGATTTGCAGTTTTCTTTACTGACCAATGCATACCGCCTGCCCATACACTCAAGAGCATGCAGTTTACAGACTGTTAACAAGGTGGTTCTCTGAGTTCTTTGGTCTGTAGCACAGACATCCAGGGATGAGCTGAAAAGAAAAGGAGGAGGTCACTTTTTCACACGAGCCTTAACCCTTTTTGCATGGTTACATTTATAGGACATGTCTGCAACCATCCAGCAAAGTTGGGGAGATTTCTCCATGACCCCTCAAATTGAATGTGTGAACTGGGCACATATGTTCATTAGTACACATTAGTGCAAAAAGGATGAAGAAAATGAGGAAAAAGCAAACAAAATATATGCATATGCATATTTTTCAAACACCACTGTCATCCTAAGATTCCTCCTCTTGAAAATTAGAGAAGAGGGTCTAGACCAGTGGTTCTCAACCTGTGGGTCCCCAGATGTTTTGGCCTTCAACTCCCAGAAATCCTAACAGCTGGTAAGCTGGCTGGGATTTTTGGGAATTGTAGGCCAAAACACCTTGGGACCTACAGGTTGAGAACCTCTGGTCTAGACTCTGAGGATTTGGATCCTTAGAACTTGATTGCACCTTTCTCTAACCCACTCCAGTCACCTAAATCCTCCCCCCCCCCTCTATATATATACATCCCTTTTTCAACTTCTGTTCCATTAGTTAACTTCTGTTTCTGCTAACATCAAATTACAACTCAGTCAAACCAGGCAAAATAATGAAACAATGTACAGTTATGGTTTGGCCATGGAAACTGAGCAATTGATATGCTGCTGTGGTCAAAGTGCACAGAATATCCCCCCAAATACCTGCAATCTGTTGTAGTCTAGTGTCTCTTGAAACAGAATATTTCAACCATCATGACTCACCCACATTCGTATGGCATCTTACACACACATCTTGTCTCCTGAACCTTCTCCCATGGCTGGCATTCTGTCACGACTGGTTGAACAGTTACACTGGGAACTGAGGTGAAAGAATAAGCATAGGAATACAGAAAGAACAAAATCCAGATTCACTCAAAAATATTCTTATTGGCCAAAGTGGGTGGATACAAAGTGCCATTCTGATAGAATTTGGAAAAAATTAATTTTCCAGATCACACCTCCTATAATCTTGTAGCCAAGATGGACAAGGGATTATCAAGGTTCAGTTAGGGTTTAAGATGCAAAGCTAGTGTTATAATCCTATCTACACATGATGTGAAATGCCTCAATTTCAATCATTTCTGTTAGTTTTATTTTAAATTTAATTACAGATGCTCCATCACAATAGTTTACAGGGAATATTAGTGTAGTGGTTCAGCTTGCACTTGTTCCATTGCCTGAGGTTTCAGTCAGGCCTGTAGCCGGAGGGGGGGGGGGGTTAGGGGTTCAACCCTCCCGAAATGTTTCAGATTTTTAAAAAAACCTGGTTTACTCATGAATTTTAACTGGTTTACCAAATCCCCATGCTAAGTCTATGAGATGAAAAAAATTAAGAGTCCCTCCAGAACTGCAAGCACTATCTCAAGCAAATATTGACAATTTATTCACACTGTCATTACTTGCAGCAATAGCCGATGTAGCGAAGCAACCAAGTTGGGGGGGGGGGGTGTTGAATGCTCTCATTAAGGAGGCCAGACTTGGTGGAGGTGGTTGACAGGGGCGGAGCTGCAGGCTATTGAAGGCTGCTCTGCCCCCTGCTGTGCTCTTTGCTTCCGCGTGAGCTTACCCCCCCCCAAATTTTCAACCCTCCCCCAAAAAAATTCTGGCTATGGCCTTGGTTTCAGTGCCTTATGCCCAAGATCCTGCCGACCCACGGGGGTCTGG